GAATATTTATCCTGTTTTTGTTTATTTTGCATTATTCCCAACACATCGACTTATTTAGTATCATTTAATATTTCCTGTAGTAGGTGTATTTATGTGAGGGTATGGTTACATGTTCAACATGACACTGTTGGTTATTAGTGGGTATTATGATATTAATCACTGATGAGGCTTTACATTATTAGGAAGAAACTTTATGATAAAAGTAACAAACTAATCTAAATACACTAAATAATAACTGATTCTACACAATCCTGTCACACACACACATTATAATATAATTAATTGTTACAAAACTACTCAGCAAAATAAGCAGCATGTTCACAATTAAAAAGTGTAGCAATGTATTTTCATTTAATTTTCATTTCTGCACTTTTAAGAGTGAAGCCACTTTTCCAACTGTTCCAAATAATTCCTATCCAATCAGCAAATGTAGTTGGTTCATGTTTATAAGGACCATTAAGATGAGAAGAAAAGCAATATTTATGAATTTGGTTAAACCACCAGCCGCCATTATAAGATATTGGACAATTCTTATTGTCATTGACATTATCTTTAGTACTGAAACTACTTCCACTGTGATGCTCAGCCAAGCTATCTCCAGCGGTTCCAGTAGAATTATAGCCACTTAAATTCAACCTGTACTCAGTACTAGCATCACCAATACTGAATGTAGAGTATTGGGCATAATATGAATTGCCTTCAAAATCACCAATTTCTACTCGCAAGGACTTGGATCCTTCTTTAGTAAGACGATGAATCTTGCTCAATCCTAACCAAAACTCACCAGTAAGGCTGCCAAATCCATTCTCATAGTCAGTCCAGTATCTATAGAAATCAACAGATCCATCTTGTCTCCTCTGAAATACAGTCCATCCACCACCATCAGTCTCCATATCACAGTATACCTGTGATCCAATAGTGTATAATTATAAAGTATAATACAATTAAACATTACTTGGAAAGCTGGTCCATTATCTGGTTTTATAGGATATACTCCATTTTGTTTAATTCCGAGTTGTTTCCATGCTTTACAATCAGTTGGCATTACACACACTGCATGTATGTATGTATTATTAATAATTATTGCACAATAGTTTATTTACCTGGTGGAGCATTAACTGTAGTATTTGGAGAAGAAAGATACTCAAAAGTAACCATTGGAGAGGGAGAGGGAGAGGGTGATGGAGAGGGTGATGGAGAGGGTGATGGTGTCTCATCATCAGGACAGTTTCCATTGACAGTATTAATAATAACAATTATTATCATTAAACTGTACATCAGTTTACCAGCTAACATCATCTCAGTATAGTACCTTTATTGTATACTTATTAAGATAATGTGATAGGTTATACTGTAGTGATATTTCTCTCCTTTTATAATAAACTCACTGACACTAGCTCTGTGACTAGTGGACTATAAAGATTGAACAACATTTTGTTGACTTTTAGTAACTTTTACTGAACATCAACATATCTCTCTCGATCTTTAAACTTTAAACTATACATACTTGCTATTGTATGTGTATGAAACCTTACTGGAATGTTTATTTTTAAATTAATAACATTATCAATGCAGTCCTTACATTTCTGTTATTACAAATATGATGATACCTCTACCTGAAGGCACAGGTGTCATAATAAATGTTAGTAACAGTGCTGGTGTGCATGTAAATATAAGCAAAGTATTTGAAGTATATATGCATGCTAGATGCTTATACATATTTGATATTAATCACTGATGAGGTTTGACATTATTAGGAAATAACTTTATTATAAAAGTAACAAAATAATCTAAATACACTAAGTAATAACTGATTCTACACAATCCTGTCACACACACATTATTTATGTTTAATTGTTACGACGAGTTTTCATCTCAGTAAACTTGAGACTATAGCTATCTCCT